TTAGTTGAAGCCCCGCCCACCCCGGACATTTAATTTAGTTGAAGCTCCGCCCACCCGGACATTTAATTTAGTTGAAGCTCCGCCCACCCGGGCCTTTAATTCAGTTGAAGCTCCGCCCACCCCCGGCCCTCACACCTGCTGTCGCGCGCAGCTAGTTAGCCTGTAGCTGGAGACACATGGAGAGCTTCATGGACCGTGCCTTCCCAGCTGGAGGTGAAAGCGACACCAGTAATGATGAGTGGGAAGTCGACTTCGTGTCTGCCAAGAAGTCCTCTGCCATCAAGGTAGTGTCACAGAAGTGTTTTTATTTATTTATCCCGTTTAACAACCGGAAATGGGCGACAGCAGTCCCCAGAGCTAACAGTATGCTAGCTTAACCAGTTTCTTAAAGTTTGGAGGTGAAAACACTTCCTGCCACAAACAATGAGCAGAACTTGGATGTAACTCCTGAGTTACTGTTTAAATGTTGTTTAACGGTTTAAAGATGTCTGAACAAGTGCAGCTCGTTTGGCACGTGCAGTCTGGAAGGCGCTCAAACTGGTGAAGCTCCTGGAGTTCTGCAGATCCGGGGGTCCACACTGTTTCAGCATGCGAGATACTTTTAAAATGAACAAGTCCAAGGATCTACCTACTCAACAAATGTAGAACATATTTATTTATACGTTTATAAACACATTAAGTATGCTAATTATGCTTTTATAAACAGCCACCAGGGAGCACCAGCCAGGGCGTCTCTGGTTCTGGTCCCAAGCCCAGGTAAATGGTGAGGGTTGTGTCAGGGAGGGCATCTGGCCTAAAACTCTTTGGCCAAAACTATAATGTGAGTTCATCAAAGTGGGTAAAAAAAAAAGGTTTGTAGAAAACCTACTGGATTGGTGAGGCCTGGATTAACAACTGGTGCTGATGACAAATGATGCGGGCGGAACTTGTGCTACTGTTAGTTGAAGACCACGAAGAGGTAAACGTGTCAGGAGACGGAGGGAGAAGAGGAAAGTCAAGAATGTAGGACTGACTCTAAATGTGGGGACAATGACAGGCAAAGGTAGAGAGCTGGCCGACATGATGCTGAGAAGGAAGGTAGATGTTTTATGTGACCAAGAGACCAAGTGGAGGGCAGCAAGGCTCGCAGCATTGGAGCAGGGGTCAAACTGTTTTACCGTGGTGTGGATCGAAAGAGAAACGGAGGAGAATGGAGACACGGAGACTCGTCCTCAGCTGCGCAGCGCGCTGTTTAAACCAACAGTTGTGGGGGACACAGAGACGGCCGCGTTCTGTTTTTACTGACAGTTTTAGAGTAGGGTGTGTGAGAGGAGAGATACAGACATATCTCAGCCACTCGCTGTCTGAACCGACAGTTTTCAAGTGGCGGGGGTGCGTTCAGCGTGAGGGTTCAGCGTGAAGGAAGAGGCTGCCTTTAGCTTTTTAGCTAGTGCACCTGCATTGTGAGCCGCTAGTGGAGGAAAGACAGGCTGCAGGTCTCTTTTCAAATACTTAAAGAGAGTTGGCGCCGTTATCAGAAAGCAGTGAAAGCTGCTAAATCCAAATTCTTCTCTGATATAATTACCTCAAACTCTCACAACCCACGTGTCCTCTTCTCCACCCTAAACTCTGTTCTCCACCTCACTGAACCATCACCTCTGGAAGCCTCGACTGAGCTGTGTGACAACTTCTTACATTTCTTTGTGGAAAAAATTGCGACCACCAGGGCTCTCATTTCCCCTCCAACTCATGACCCATCCATCCCACCTCAATCTGTAGCTCCTTTTGACCATTTTGAACCATCACTCTATCTTCTCTAGAGCAGGTCATGTGCAGCTTGAAACCTTCTGGTTTGATGTGGTCCCCCCTCGACTACTAAAGGAGGTGTTTCCAACTCTAGGTCCGTCCATTCTTGTCATAGTAAACAGTAGTTTATCCACTGGCGTGGTGCCAAAATCCTTTAAACATGCTGCCGTCCAGCCTCTCCTGAAAAAAACAAACCTTGACCCCTCAGTCGTTTCCAACTACCGACCCGTCTCCAAACTCCCATTTGTTTCTAAAGTACTGGAGAAAATAGTCGAGTCCCAGTTGAAGTGCTTCCTGGAGGATCACACCATCTTAGAGCTATTTCAATCTGGCTTTAAACCTCTCCACAGCACTGAAACTGTCCTGCTGAAGGTCTTTAACAACATCTTCAGATCCACAGATACCGGTGATTCTGTGCTGCTTGTCCTGTTGGACCTCACAGCCGCCTTTGACACCATCGACCATGAGATCCTCATTGCTAGGTTGGAGCAGTGGGTGGGCATCACAGGGTCAGCCCTCAATTGGTTCAGATCTTACCTCGCTGACAGATCCTTTTGTGTCTCCATCAAGGATTTTAGTTCCGCAGAGGCAGAGCTTAAATGGGGGTTCCACAGGGGTCCATCCTGGGTCCCCTCCTATTCTCTTTATACCTGCTGCCACTTGGTGCTATTTTCTGGAAACACAACATGCCCTTTCACTTCTATGCCGATGACTGTCAAATTTACTTCCCCCTAAGACACAATGGTACATGCTCTATTCAACCGCTGCTCGACTGCCTGGCTGACATCAGGGACTGGATGGCTTTAAATTTCTTAAGTTTCAATGAAAAGAAGTCTGAAATCATGTTGTTCCCTCCCAACGACACGATCACAAACCACTGCATCGACCTCTCTGATCTAACCCTGTCAGAAAAACAAACAGTTACTAATCTGGGAGTGATAATGGACCCTTCCCTGAAGCTTAACAATCATGTAAACATGATTGTTAAATCATGCTTCTTCCAACTGAGGCGGCTGTCTAAACTGAAGCCCATACTGTCCAAAAAGAACCTGGAGACAGTAATACATGCATTCATTACATCTAGGCTTGATTACTGCAATTCACTCCTGTTTGGTATCAGTCAGACCTCCATTGCACGACTACAACTGGTCCAGAATGCAGCAGCCCCATTTTTAACCAGTACAGGCAAAAGAGAGCACATTACACCAGTTTTGGCCTCACTGCACTGGTTACCAGTTCACTGTTGAATCCAGTTCAAAATACTCATGTATGTCTACAAATCACTGAACAGTGTTGTCC